ACATATTGATATTTTCTAATCACCCCATTAAGTGATGTTATTACACACATCTGGAGCAGGTGGGACTTGAACCCAGGCCTCCTGGCTCAGAGGCAGGGGCATTATCACTGTGCCACAAGCACCCTTGTTAGTATACATTGTTTAATTGTTAGCACAGGTTCTAGTCACACACATTCATACTGTTTTAACCGGCACTCTTAATAAACTGGTAAAAATGATCTACTTCAAATACCGTGAAGTTTATTATTCTGTCCAATTATGATATTTTTAAAAATGTATTTACCTCAGAGTAAGCATGCTTGTTGTTCAATTGAATGGCTGCATATAATATCAACAGTTGATTCAATTTCTCCTCATATACCATGATGTCCAAGTAGTCAGTTGAGGGTCGAGTGAGAAGGCCCTCTGCCAGTAAGTTTTATTTAAGGCAAAGTTGCATTATTATTTAAACTCCCTTGGAAATTTCAAACAAGAGTACACCTAAAGTCTGAAATGGTCAAATTCACAATGCATTACGCTTTCAAAAATTCTTTCACAGAATGCGAGCATGACTGGTAAGGGCAGCATGTGTTGGTCGCCCCTAATTGCTCTGGAGAATGTGGTGTTGAGCTGCCTTCTTGGACCCTGCAGTCCATGGGGAAGTACCCACAGAGAGTTATCAGGAAAGGTTCAAGGTATGAGGCTTAGAGGGGAACTTACAGGTGGCAGTGTTCCCACACATCTGCTGCTCTCCTGTTTCTAAGTAGTACAAGTCATAGGCTTGGAAGGTGCTGTCAAAGGGGTTTACCATCTTATATACGAAACACACTGTCACTTAGTACCAGTGGTGGATCGTGAAATTTTAAAGTGGCACATAGGGTGCCGCTCAAGAGGGTATCTTAGATGGTGCTGAGCTTCTTGAGTTTTGTTAGGAGGACCATACTTATCCAGACAAGTGCAGAGTATTCCATCACATATATTGTGTTTACCCTTGAAGCCTTTCCCCATACCAGAAATGGTTTTCTTGGAAGCACAACTCTGGGACAGATGGCAAACTCGTCAGTCAACTGATCCTCAAACCCATTAAAGCACTCAAATTGCGAACTCTAAATTAATGTAATTAATAAATTAATTTAATAAAACAGAACCATGACAGAATATATTTTACAAAACATAATGTAATAGAGAGGCTTAAAAGAAAATCAAAGTCCTTTTTCTCCCCCAGACTCAGAGCTCAAACAATGAATAGCGCAGGAAACATGCCTTTTAGCACACTGGTTGAAACTGTAAATGGTACACGTAGAACTCAGTCTGTAGAGCAGAAGTGCTTGGGAAGCAAGTTGGTCACTTAAAAATTTAAATATTACTGCATTTATTTCAATATATCAAAATCATAAGACCCGTAGTCAAAAAAATGACAAAAAGAATTCTATATCCTTCAACAGTATCTCAGAATTACATCAACATTAGTATTCAAAAAGTACTTAGACTGTTTAAAACCATATCAAACTTGCCTTCTTTTCAACCTTGTTATCTTTATATCTTTTATGATTAAGAATTGATGGAGTATCATCAAAAAGTGGTTTCCTTATACACAGTACAGTTATTGAATTTATTAATCTGTAGGCATTCATACTAGAAATACTACATACTTTATTGGAAATTGTTTAACTGCAATTTTTTCCAGTAATATATGAACTAGGCATCACAAAAACTGAGTCATGTTTACAGCACAGGACCAGGAAGTTAGATTAATCTCTTCATCGTGGAACTGATCATTTTGTATAAATTTGAAAAAACAAAATTTGTACTGACTAATCCATCATTTTAACATTCCAGTCAGCAGAACAGCTTCAGCTGAGGAGTTTGGTACACATTTCTAACATTCCACAGCCCCCAACAAGCATAAAACAAGAATTGTTCTGTTTTGGGTTTTATTCCTCTTTGTCTGGTTGGGGTATTCTTCCTGGCAGTAGTGATAAGGAGGACAACCAACCAGTGATAATATTCTGGTGTTACAAGAATTCAGATCACTGCATTTTCAATGGCTGCCATACAGCAGTCCCAAGCAGCTTTGGCCAGGTTTCACAGTGCAATTCATCAGTAGAATCACAGGAATTTCAAAGGCAATTTGAGTACTGATGAGCCTACGCTGGCTGTTGGGGAATATTTTGTGGGATACATAAAACACATCCTCACCTTCATCTTTGCTAACAACAGCAAGGTCTGAGCAATAGTTCTGGTGCTAGTAAGTAGTTTGAAAAGTTCCTTGCTCATTTTTTTTTTTGCAAACATCCAGTCCAGAGTTCTCTGTCTTTGGCATTATTTGTTTAACAGCCACCCACGAGGCTATGAAAGTCAGAGATATATAAAGTTTGGATTAATGCACTTGGAAACACTGGCTTTGGCCATGTTAAATCCAGAACTTTTTTTGGGAAGTTGGTAATCTGTAGCTCTTCCAACTTGATGGCAGTGGTCTAAGTGGCTTCTTGAACTGTGGTAGAGGAAAATATAACAAAATCGATGATGCTTTCTTCACACGTGCCCAAGCCATATCTTGAGTGGCAGTGGTTATTCATGAGGCTGCAGCTACAGGTACAGTAATGGTTAGCATGTAGGCCATTTGAGAGTGAAAGCAATAGAATTATGTCTTTGAGCATGCAACTCAAAAACATCACAGAATTGAGGGACTTTCCCAGGTATTGGTGAACCCTCGTTCCTTCTGGCATTTTGCTTGGCCCTCAAGGCGGCTAGTATGGTGGCTTTATTTGCTTCTCTAAAGATGGCAAGATTGTTAAATCAATGTTCAGTTGTCAGGATGATGGCATCAGTTGCGATTTCTCACTTAACAGAGTGGGCCACGTGAAGGCTGCCATCTTCCACTCCAATTGGTTAGCTGGCAAAACTGTACATTAATATGTCAAATCTAGACACATCCCAAAAGTACAGCAGGAGACAACGGTCATTGGTAAAACTGATCTATGACCCAGGAAAATTGACGCCAATATTACTGATGCACATGAAATGCATCATCTCCTAGAGAATCAGCAGTCATCAAGTGATGAACCTTAAAGAACAAGTAGAATTCCAGCCAAAGTGTAGTTGTTGTGACAAGATTTTGCCATTGCTGTACACAGAGACCCAATTCCAGAAGAAATCCAAGACTGGCAAGGCCTGTGTAGATCAGTCCTTGGTCTAAAGGACTGATACTGAAGGTCACGAGGGTCATTCCCTGCCTCAGAAAAAAAAATGGCTGCTTGGGAAAACGCTAAGAAATAGATGACTAAGTGACCGCTTGTGTGACAAAAGTCAACTCACCACAGTTCCTCAACAAGGCTCATTACTTGCACAGATATTCTTCAATATCTATACCACCACTATGCTACCAATTAAGTTGTGCAAATTTGCAAATGATCTTGCCTTGCAAACAGTCCTTGTGGATATCAAATCCACCTCGGATGGGAACCTAAATTCTAATAGAGAAATATTTCCAGAATTGGAATCTCAAACCAAATCTGGACAAAGCCAGTTACTGGATTTCATCACGATAACAGGAACACTAAACACACCTCAAAAATCAACTCTCTTTGCCAAATACTGTGCAACATGATCTTGCACTGACATTCTGTGGAGTGAAGCTGGACCACACACCTGAAGAAGGCAGCCATCAATACAAAGACAAGGATCAACTTGCTTTTGAACATGGCAAGCACAAGCTGGAGAGCAATCAGCAGGATTGCTCCAGACATCAGAGATGGCTTACAAGTACTATGGATCAGTACAGACCAGAAGTTGCTACACATATCCAACTAAATAATGCAGCGCAATACAAGTCTGAAATCCTCAGGTTGACCCAGAGGTGCCTTTGAAGTTGTACATCTCTCCATTCATCAGCTGCAATACTACAATCCTCTAGAAAATCCAGCAAATATAGTAAAATGAGCATCTCTCCACCAACACACCAATAATATCCCTCAAAGTTGCACAAGTCCCTTTGAACCCACATACTTAATTTTTCCAACAATGAAACTTCAATCATGAAAAGTTTACACAGTCAGATTAGACCATCAGAAAGAAAGTATCTTGTGGAAGATCCAATTCATGGGAAAACCTAAACTATGTCTGTACAAAACATGGCAGATTAGGATACCTGGTATACAAATAGAAAGTTAAAAACTTTCCAATGTGCAGCTGCAGTCACCTAAAACAGGCCATGGAACACTCATTCAAAAGTCCAAGGCTTAACGACCTGAGAGCAAAATTATATTTGCTGCTCACAACTACATCAGCCATAACACTGCTGATCTCAGTCATCCCACCATGGGGGAAATCGCCAAGTGAAAGTTGAGATATACTCATTGAGTGAGCAAAATGAGCCTCAGAACACTGGTGAAGCTTTCACTGGCTGGTTTTAAAGTAGTCTTGAAATCTTACCCAACCACTGATGTCTAATAAACACAAGTGTGAGAGAAGACAGAGGCAATAAACCAAGGAGGGAAAAAGAAGATTCTAGATGGAGACTCACCCAAAACAGAAAACAGGCACCAAATTGGTTCAGGGTTCAAACTCAGTCCTATACTAAAATGGAACTTTGGTGCAAGTCATTACAGGGGCAGCATGTTGGCTCAGTGGTTAGCACTGCTGCCTCACAGTGCCAGGGACCCAGGTTTGATCCTAGCCTTGGGCAACTGTGTGGTGTTTGTACGTTCTCTGTGTCTGTGTGGGTTTCCTTTGACAGCTCAAAGATGTGTAAGTTAGGGTGGATTGGCCATTCTAAATTGCCCATAGTTTCCAGGGATGTACAGGCTAGTTGGATTTGCCATAGGAAATGCAGGGATAGGATAGGGGTTGGAATGCTCTTCAGAGGGTTGGTGTGGACTCAATGGGCCGAATGGCCTGCTCCCACACTGTTAGGATTCTATTTTTACTAGGTTTTTAAAAAAAAATCACTGTGCCTCTTAAATGGAGCTATATTTTTATTGCACACCACATTGTTTTCATAATCAGAAGCTGCACAGCAATACAAAGAGAAAAATGACAAATTTATTTTATTTGACAAGCAAGCTATCAATTCATCGACACTTTAGCACAACAGTGGATTTGAGCAGTCTCAGAGGTGTCTATACATGTCACCTGGATTGATTCACGTGATGTAGCAACAAACAAAACTTTCAACCTGACTGCACAACTGAACAGTCAGTAACCCAAGGATACAGATTTCAGATAATAGTGAAAAATAACCAGACGAGGGGGAGGAAAATCATTTTTTATTTATACATGACAAGTTACAATCTGGAACAGACTGCCTCCAAGGGTGCAGGAGGAGATTCAATGGTAACTTTCCAAAAGGGAATTGTGTACATACTTGAAAAGGGAACATTTGCAATGGGGAGAGAGTGGGGGACAGTGGTACTAACTAAATAGGTCTTTCAAAGAACTACCATCAGCATAATAGGGCTGAATGGCATTGTCATATGTTGTAAGATACTATGAACAATCAGCTTGAGAATGAATTCAGCCTCTCTCAGGGTCACTCTTAAATGAATGTTAATACATTTGCTGATTCAGAAAATTTCAAGAAAGGAAAGAATGAATGAACAAACTTGCATTTTGTGACCTCAATAACCAAAATGCTTTGTGGCTGAAGTATTTTCAGGTGCAGCATTATAATGTAGGAAATGGAGCAGCCAATTCGCGCACAACAAAACTTCCCAAACAATGTGGGATTGACCAGATAATCCGCTTCAGTAAATGTAGGTTGAAGAATAAATATAGGCTCTTCTTTGGCAGTGGCACTGGATCTTTTACAGTCACTTGAGATAGGCAAGTCATTGCATCCAATAGTTGGCTGCTTTAGTCTCAAATCAAATCAAATCAAATCATTCTTCTTTTCAACGAGCTACTTAAGAAACAGACAATGCAGCAATAAAGATCACAAAATGGGAAAATAGTTTAAGCAAAGCAATTTAGCGCCATATTTATTTCGCGCCACATTTATTTAGCGCCAATCACAACCTTGGGACATCCCAAAGTACTTTATTGCCAATGAAGCACATTTGAAATGGAATCAGTTATGTCACAACATTGTTTTTAAACTTCTTGCATGTCTTAAAATTCTGCAGCTAAACATTCTGAAATTTTGTACTCCAAGCATCAAGGGTCATTATCATGGTCACTTTATGACAGTGCATTCATTATGTTCTACCCAAACAAAAACGAGGGAATTGATACAAACACAAAACAGAGGTCATTATTTTTGGGTGTTACTTTTTAAGCCATGTCTAGAAACGTCTAAACAAAAAAACAAAGAACTGTGGATGCTAGAAATCAGAAACAAAAACAGAATTGCTGGAAAAACACAACAGGTCTGACAGTATCTATGCAGAGCTAACATGACTTGAACCCCCCAGCAATTTCTGTTTCTGTTTCTATAAAATGTCTAGATGCATCTCTGAACATTAATCTGCTCTGAACGAAGAGTGTAGAGGTTTTGTTCTTTTGAAAAAAGTTAATTCAAATTAATCAAATGAATGCAAATCAGCAAAATCATTGGATTAAGAATTTTGCCCCAGATAAAAACTGAACCAAATTCAAATAGAATGGCTTAGAATTAACAGAACTTGACTAGAGATGTAGTTAATGCAATGATGTCAAGAGCTACCCCACATGGCAACCGTACACAGCCAAATTCTGTAATCTGAGACATTCAGATCCAGTTTCTAACCACTACTAGGGTTGATTGTAACTTTCACCCGGCTCCAGGAATTATTGAGAACACCACGTAAATTCCAGATGGGTGCAACGGTATCAGGTTGCACATTGTAGTTGTTGTCCACAGCTTTGCAGATTATCTCCAAGTTCTTCTGGCCCTTTGGCAGAGGCACAGTGAGCTGCCACAGTTTCCATGCCCACATCCGGCCCGCATCCTGCTTCTCCCCTGTTAAGTCAGCCACTTTCCAGGTCTTCCCACCATCTAGTGAGACATCTACTCGAATCACTTCTCGGCCACCTCCACTCCATGCATAGCCTTTCACTGTGATCTCTTCATTGTCTGCAGAGATAAATTCGTTATTGCAAGGCGTCGTTATTGCAGACTGGATGGGGAGTTCTTGGATTGCTGGAGCAGTACTGAAGTCAACAGTATCCCAGTCTACAGAGGGAGAAAACCCTTTATAGTCATTCACCTGCCAATGGCTCTGACTTTCTTCTTTACTTACAATGATCTTGCTCAACCACTTCACATTGCGTGCTCCAACCACTCCAGGCACAATGACACGCAGTGGAAAGCCGTGATCCCTGGATAGATCTTCACCATTCATTTCATACGCAAGTAGCACGTCGCCATCTTTAGCCAATGCCTTGCGAATGGAAATAGAGGCCCCATAGGGGGTTCCACTCAGATCTTTATCAAGTCCCTCAAATTGGACGTGCTTGGCGTTTGTGTTCTCTGGGAGCCCTGCATACTTAAGGACATCAGAAAGCTTGACCCCTCTCCAAGTCGCATTACCAATAGCTGCCATCCCCCAATTCAGTCCCTTTACCAGACGCACAGCATTCATTTCAGAGCGCCGATTCCCTGCACACTGCAATGTAGCAGTTATTGTGTGCTTTGGGAACTTGGTCTTGAGGTCATCAAGAGTTAGTTGGATGGACTTCAGCCCCTCTCCCATAATCTGCAAACAGTAATTTTTTGGATCAACGTCTGGTACAGGCAAATGGTTTCGTTTGAAGAAAATTTCATTTGGGGTAATGTAATTTTCAGACAGGAGTTCTAACGGTGGTTCTGCATTAAATGGCTTTAAGCTATTCACTTTCAAAACAGGGTGTCTCAGGGGTTCATTCCCATAAGGGTCGTCCACATCCCCGACTGTCCGCTTCTGATCTTCTGGGCTCAGTTCTCCAATTCTGTACTCTTCAAGTATCGAATAAACATGTTCTTGATTGTGGACTGCATACATTGCCCAGAATGGTTCAATGGCACCACCAGCAGCAAGCATGATCTTATCCCCCCCAGGATGTAGGTCCACAAACTTTGTAATATCATATACACCAGTTTTATAAGTGACCCATACCCCATCTGCCAGAGTTTTATGCTTGGCAACATCCTGCCTGGTATAGATGGAGTTAGTTGGTTTCACCTCATTGCCCAATGCTGACACAGTTAGGCTGTTCAGTTCTGTGATACTTTTAGGCTCTGTTTGCTGCACCTAGGAGGAGACAGAAATAAAAGACCATAAGACTATAGCTCATGGGAAAATAATATCCTGCAACTCAGACTTCTGCTTATCAGTTGAAGCTCAGAGCCACTGCAACTGATGGATTTAGGTGGATTGAAGTAAAACGTCAGATAAAGTTCCCATTCCTGGCTGTAGTCCAAATGTCCAAGTGTAAGTTGGGCAAGTGCAGAATTATCCTCAGCTACCATCACCCACTGACACTCACGTTCAAGATCTATACACAAATATTGGCCACTTAGGCAAAGTACTATGATTGCCATGCTCAAAGGAGTGCACCCCGCGTGCCAGAATCCTTGGAAGAAAATTAGGTGTTGAAGTGAGAGTTAGCAGCAGCAAAGATCT